TCACAGTACCTAATTCCAGTAATTAACTATCTATCTGTATATTAAACAAATCATTTCCTTAAGCTGTTTCTTAAAGCATTTTTAAAAAGAGAGAAAGAGAAAGTCACTACTTTACCCAATCTTTGAGAACATCTCATGCAACTGAAGAGTTTAGAGAATAGTCCATCTATTTTTCTGATAAGATCACTCTAATTATAGTAATCTAATGATTAAGTACTTTTTTAACCTTTAATCAAGAATTATTTGCAGAGGTGAGCACTTGGGTAGGCCTGGAAAGCTTAGTGTTATGTAACAAAGAGGCTAACCAACCTATGATTTTCCTCTAGCTTTCAAGTAGAATGTTTTCATCTTTGTTCCAAATAGTTCCAAAACAGTTATGGATTGAGGCAATGTGAACTTGTAAGCACAAGAGCTGAGCTGACCAACATATCAAGAAGAATCCAGGTCCTTTTTACACCCAGCTACAAAAGTTGCTATTTTTAGTAGTTCATCGAAACCTTCAACTTAAATAGGCATACTTGTACATAACCTCCCTCCACAAATATGCACCTTATTTCTAGCACATATTACCTTGAAAATGACTGTGTTTTTGTTTTACAAAGATCTACTCTGCTCAAGAGTAGGCAGGTGTCAAATGAGCCCCTGGCCTTTCCAGACTCCAAAGCGGATACAAAGAATCAAGATCCCAGGGTACAAGCCTCTTGCAGGGAAAGTTCTAAAAATAACACTTGGCAGGATGCTCAGTTCTTCCATTCTTAAAATTGTATTTGATTCTTAAGCAAAACTCGCCTAACCTGAGTTCTAGTTATCAACACTTAGGCAAGTGGTAAACGTTTTCGTTAAAATGAAAACGGAGTGTTCATAGGTGGGTACAGGTGTGTGAAGCCCACATACTGCAATAAATCTCTAATGCTGTCTCTAGTGCATACTACATCTGTTAACAAACTATCGTTTAAATAATTTTTCACAAAAGTTAGGTCAAATAAATATTTTTATAGAAAACAGGGCTGTAACATTTTATGACTTGGGTTTGCAGATCGCCTGTTCCTCTGACCTTCACATCTCTGTCAGTTTTCTCATAACCTATATGACTTAAGGACACTAAAACACACTCTAAAAATTTTAAGAAAACACACACAGAGAGCTTCAGTACTGATCAAACAAAGCCCTGACCCTAAGTAAACCTTGGTTTTAAAGCTCCCCAACCTCTGCATGTTTTGAGAAACATCCAGAAGCCTTGTATTTCAGCTGATTGTGGAAACCGCAGCAGTAAAAACTCCAAGTGCTCATCTTAAATTAGGACTCACAGCGCTGCGTGTGAGATCTATGTATTTATATTATTTTTTATGGCATTCGGAAGTTCTGTTGGTTGCTTTGATGTTACTCCGCTAATAAAACAGGGCGAAAAGCCTGGAAAACAAAAGTTATTTATTGGAAATTCTCATGTCAAAACTTGAAGTAATTGGTTTGTTCTAGCCCACATGATTCAATATTCTGAATTCCCTAACTACCTGCTCCCAGGGCTATCTGCATTTCTAAATTCGGTTTCTGTTGCCAACACATACCAACCTAGTGATTGAAAATGGCAGCTGAAGTGCTTCAGCTGCACGTTAATTTTTCTCTAAGTAGCCCAATTTCGTCGTCTAAATTCTAAGAAATCTCATTTTCACTGCATTTTACACCTTTGGAGATTTGTCAAATTCAGGATCATATAAAATGAAGAACAATATTTTCAAGGCAATTTTTGGATGATCACTAATAGCTCTCAAGGATGGTGTGTTTTCTTCCTAACACTTAGCACTCAAAGCAGAGGAGTTAAGCACAACTGGAGCACAGGAGTCACAATTACAATCAATTACACCCCCCCCACACACACACACCCCAATACTACAGTACTTCTTTGGCTAGTGAACAAAGCAGATGAACAGCTATCATAAAATGATCGCAGGGTGACGCTCTCCATTGGAAAGGCATTAAAAAAAAAACTCATCTTGATCTGAAAACAATTACCACCCCATTAAACAAAAGACTAAAATATTTAGGCAATTAATGGTGAGTTTTTCCGCTCTGAAACTGCTACATTAGAATTCATTTCCACTATTAAAATAGAAGCTAGGAGTCCCAACCCTGAGTAAATAATCCTTCCTCCAAGGTAGGAAGGTCAATTCCTGGCCAAAAGCAAACATCACAGGTAAACCAAAAAGAAAAAAGAAAAGGAAGAAGAAAAAGAAAGGAGGAAGGAAGGAAAGCAAGCAAGCAAGCTTGCAATTTTCAACCATTCTCTGTTGATCTTTAAAAATCAGTTTTAAAAAACTAAAGTGAAATAAATACAAGTAATTTTCCTCAGGAAAAAAAAAATAGTTCTCCCTTGACCTCTCTGCCCTCCACAAATGCCCCACAGACCAGTTTCTTATTTCTTTCTTCACTCAAGCTCTAGGTTGCTAAAAGAAATTCAGACAACATAGTGTTCTACAGATGCTGGAAAAAACTGAATCAAACAAACGCCGTGTTTTTCTTGAAAAACAACTTTACGCTAAACAAAAAAAGTGTCTAGTGTTTGACAAAAATTTAAAGATGAAAACAAAATGGCATCTAAACACAACTACCTCTATTTAAATAAAAGTCATAAAATTTGAGTCTCTGTCACTTAGAAACCTTTCCAAACTGATACTTGTATCAGAAGTTGTGTTAATAAAGCTCACATGGGCTTTTAATTTTCAACAAGCTCTACTTCCTTTTATTCCCTATTAGTTTAGCAAGTATATAAAAGTTTCCGATGTGTGTCTTATCACAAAATAGCTATTGTTGTATAGACTAATTGGAAGCCCTTCTAATTGTAATAACAGAGCAAAGTGTGTCTTAGAAAAGCTTTGGGTTAGACAGTAAAGCTTTCTCAGTGTTCCACTAAGGGCACCCCAAAAGAAACGCAACGGAGACTATCCTAAAACAAAAGGTCACCGTTTTGCCTAAGAACAAACCATTTATCAATAGAAAATAATTGTCTTGCCATCTGCAAGCGCTGCAGAGCACCAGACAATGTTTCTTAGCTCACATAATTACGGAACAGGGAAAGTTGGGCAGCACAGCCTGGATGCTCCTTCCAGCCTGCACCCTTTACAATTCCCATTGCCCTTTGGGCCTGGGCTTGGACGCAAAAGGAAGACAGGCTGCAGTTTTCTCAATTGAGCTGAAGCTAAGAACCCTTTGATATGCTAATCACCCCCTTCAAACGGTAAGAATTCACACTTGCATTAATTCAAACAATTTGTGCAGCATGTGAAATGGCACCTCTTTCAGAGCGGGGCAACAAAAGGAACGCAGCAGCAGAGCATGCGTTCCTCGGGATTCCATCACGCACCAGCTTACTGGACGGCGGAGGGGAGAGACAAAGTTCGAAAACACACCTGAACTTAAACAGATTTTTTTTTTCTTTTAGAAGGAGTATCTCAGGAATTTCTAGTAAGCAGCAAAGCACACTACATTTATAGTTACCTTTGGCTAGGCTCAAGACAGTTCTATCCATCCTGGATGCTGTCACGGTCACCCCCAAAAACTTCTGTATTTCTGTGGACGAATTAGTGATTCTTTAGCGCCCGTTTCTTAAGGTTTACCCACCACAGACCCTGACTTAGCAAGCGAACTCCCAACAGTCAATCATTGACCAAACGGGCGTGCCTTTCTTCAAGGTTGGAACTAGACAGGAGGTAGGCAGCGTCAACTCGGAGGGCAGGCTCAAGACTTAGACCAGAGGGAGAAATGAATGAACCAACCACTGGGGAACGACGCCTCTGGAAAGAAGGAGCGAGCAGGGGAGCCCAGAACCGGGAAAATGCCGAAGAAAAAGCAGCGAGGGGCGGGAGGGGGCGGGGGGGGGGCGCTCCTTGGAAACCTGGCCTTTGTAAGGGCAACCATCTGGTTGCCGCTGAGGCTCAGGCGCGCCCAGGCTGCCTGGAGAAGCTGCTAAGCAGCCTGACACCTTTCATGAAGCAGGAGGAAAACATTTCCTCCGTCTGAATATGAGACAGCACGGTTTGTATCTGGAGGAACGGAATCGAGGGGCCGGGAAAGGGGGAAAGAGGAAAGGAGGGAGGGGGAGGAGTCCCCGCACGCCAGGGAAGGGCTATGATGGGCAGCGCAGGACGTTGCTTTTGGAGGACAGGCCGGACCAAGGGCTATAAACACCCAGGAAGACGCACGTGCCTCGGCCTCTGCTCAGAGACAGCCCCGCACTCGCTAAAGCCTCCAGCAATTTCTTTTTCTAATCCAAACCCTGCAGTTCAGCGAAGAGGAGAAAAAAACTTTGCTGGTCCCAAGTGCAGGAGTCCTGCACACTCAGGGACGCCTTCTCGCTCCGGGTCGCCCTTGTCCCTGTAGTGTGGCGGAGGGTCTCGGATCCACGAGCCCACGCCCGCGACCCCAAGAGTCTCCCTCCCCTCGCGCTCCTCCCACGACTTCTTCTCCCTGCTGCTTTCAACCTGGGGCTCGCACACGACCCAGCAGGCTCCCCACCCCAGAGGCAGCCCGGGAGCCCACGCCCCTTAACTTCTCCTGCAGGCCCAGCGCGGCCCGCTGCTGCCCTCTCACTGCCGGTCCGGGAGCTTCTCTGCCCTGGCCCCGGCCCGCCGAGTCCCCCGACCCCGCTACCCTCCCGCCCCGTCGCCGGGCTTCCCCGGCCCCAGCAGCAGGCGCCCCTAATCGCTGCCAGCCTCAAAACCGGCGCGGCCACATCTGGCTGTGCTTTTCTCTCATCCTCGCCTCTCCGCACCACCTGACCAACGACAAGAAACGACGGCCCGCAACAACTCATCTAAGCCCTCCCCCACCGTCCCCTTCCCGGGGACTCGCTCCCAGGGACAACCCGCGGACGAGTCCCTGCCGAGCCTGAGGCCCAACACCTGGGGCAGGACAGCCAGGCCGAAAACGCACTTCACAGCCCCCCTCCCCAGCCCCGCTGCGTAAAGAACCAAGGGCACCTTCTGCTCCCCAAGCTTCTTTACGAAATGCCCCCCCAAAATGCAAGATCAGACTGGAGCTGCCTCGCCAGCCCGCACCCCCCGCCCGCCTTCTCGGTCCCCAGCAGCCAGCCTGATTCCCGAGAGCGTGACAATAGCCGCACGCGGCCCGGCGAGCGGGCTGCACCGCACAGAGTTCTGCGGATCGATGTCGGCGGGAAGGGCTGCGCACGAGTGGCCAGCGCGGGTCTGACCCGGCGACACGGCCACCTCCGAGGCGTCAGCCCCATCACGGGGAGCCCAGCAAACAGGTCTCCGAAGTCGGGCACAGGGGCACATTGTTGGCGCTTACCTCCGTGTGCGCCCCGGGGGCGGGGAGGGCCAATCTGGTGCGGGGGAGCCGTGCGGGGACACCGGCGCTAGAGAGGGGCCGCGGCGACCGGCACGGGGTGCTCCTGCTGCTCGAGCGCGCGCGGGGAGGCGGCAGCCGCGGCTGGCGGGCCGGACACGGCGCCGCGCGGCTCCTCGGCGTGTCCTCCGGCTCGAGTCTCCACCGCCGTCAGCCGCCCGCCGAGTCCAGCCAAGCAGCCCAGCGGCCCGGGCGGCTGCCGGGGGCTTAAGTCAACATCTTCCCGCAGTTTCCCACACGCCGCTCCGCGACCCAGGGGGGGGCTTTGCCCACACGCGCGCGCCTACCGCCGCACGCTCCCTTCGGAGCCAAAAAAGCAAAATTCAAAACCAAGAGATGCGTGGAGACGAGGAGAGCGAGCGAGGCTGGCGGAGGTGCGCCGACTCGGGAGTCTCCTGGCAGCGGCGGGGGGGACGGGCGCCGCCGGGGAGCGAGGCCAAGTCCGTCAGTCGGTCGGGAGAAGCCCGGAGTGCGCGGGCAGCGGCGGCAGGACCTGCATCCGGCGCACGCGCCGCCCCTGCGGCCTGGGGCACGACTCAGCCGCCGGCCCTTCCTCACATGTCGGGTCTCCTGGCTCGGGGGGTAAGGGGGCTCTGCGGACGGAGGAGACGAGGAACTCGGGATCGGGGAAAGCGACGGGAGGCGCAGGGAAGAGCCGCGCCGCCGATGCACAGCCGCCGAGGGAGGCTGGTCCCCCTCAACAATCACCAAGAATCCTCCGGTAAGCTCCCGATGGCGCTCGGGCACCTCTGCGTGCGTGTGCGTGTGAGTGTGTGTGTGTGCGTGTGTGAGAGTGTGTGAGCGCGGAGAGAGTGAGAGCTAGAGGAGAGCAAGGAGAGCAGGGAGCCAGAGACGGGGAGCCCGAAGTCCTGACACGGACTCAGCTAGGGCTGAACTGGAGTCACCTCCTGCCTCCTCCTCCTCCTCCTCCTCAGTCCCCACCCCCCGCCCCCCCACCCCAGGACTGCTAATCATATAAACATATGAGCACGGACCGCGGCGCAGCATCCGTCTCTCCCTCCCGCGTTTGCCAGCCAAGGGGCTTGTGCAAACTCCAAAGAAGACAGGCAGCTGAGTACAAAACGCGGAGCAGATAATCTAGAACTCATTGCGCCCAATGGCCATTTTCCACTCCATTGGAGCAGCTGCGGCAGCGGGGCGCCCGAGCGCAGGGCAGAAGGAGGAGGAGGAGGAGCGAAGGGGACACTTACAGGAGATCTAGCCTTTCGGGTGGCGGTGGCGACGGCCGAGCAGCCGCCCCAAGACTGGCCGGCCCGGGCTCGGCCCGGTGGGGCGGCCGCAGGGCTCTC